TGTATACAATATACACAAAAACCTGTTCACAAATATTTATGGCAGCTTTTTATAATAGTCAGAAACTAGGAACAAATGTCCGTCAACTGGTAAACACACAGTGCTATATTCACACTATGGAATCTTATTTGGGAATAAAAAGGAACGACCTATCGATCCATGCGACAGCATGGGTGAATCTCTAAAGCATTATGCCAAGTGAAAGAATCAGGACTCAAAAGGCTACATACTGTCTGGCATTCTGTAAAAGGCAAAACTATAGGAACAGAAAATAGGGTTGTGGGGGGAGGGGATGAGAAGAGGAGGATTGATCTCAAAAGGGACACGAGGGAACTTTTTGAGAGGATGAAAATATTCTATATCTTGACTGTGGTGATGGTGATGGTGACATCACTGTATACATTTGTCGGGCCTCACCTTATTTAAAAGAATAAATTTTGGCAGGGCGTGGTGGCTCACGCCTGCAATCCTAGCACTCTGGGAGGCCAAGGCGGGCGGATTGCTTGAGGTCAGGAGTTTGAAACCAGCCTGAGCAAGAGCAAGACCCCATCTCTACTATAAATAGAAAGAAATTAATTGGCCAACTTATATACATAGAAAAAATTAGCCGGGCATGGTGGCACATGCCTGTAGTCCCAGCTACTCGGGAGGCTGAGGCAAGAGGATCGCTTGAGCCCAGGAGATTGAGGTTGCTGTGAGCTAGGCTGACACCATGGCACTCACTTTAGCCTGGGCAACAAAGTGAGACTCTGGCTCAAAAAAAAAAAAAAAAAAAAAGAACAAAGTATTTGGGAGAAAATGCCATAAAAGCAGCATTTCTTCACTTCCATGGTCACTTGAAAGGAATTCCCTAGACCAAAGAGATTAGGGAAGAACGAGGAAGAGGAAATGATGAGAGAGATTAGTGGGGCCCTGAGATGGAGAGGCTGACCTTAAATGGCCCCCACAGAAAGGACTGGAGTCCATGTTCACCGACTGTCCAGCCAGTGCCCGAGTGGGCCATACATCGTCTGCATCCAGGCCATGCTGGTGTGGACTTTCCTTGGACAACAGACAGCACCTCACCCTCCGCCCAGCCAGCTGAAGTGATTCATATTTGTGCCGCAAGTCTTTGCTCAGTTCTCTGTCCACCACAGCCCACGTGGAGAAACCTGCCTCCCTGCTGTTACATGAGTGACTGCCCTGTACTCCCTTCCACTTGTCCGCAGGTTGGACAGAATGGAAGCATTTGAGGACCTTTTTGCTACTCCCTCCAAGGATGGAAAACATGGCTGTTTTGCTTCCCTTTCTGGTCCTCTCAACTTCCTTCTCATGAACCTTATTGTTTCCAGTGGAGTGGAACGAGGTAAAAGCTAAAGCAATCTTTCCTTTCCCCTACATATGTTCAATAAATAGAAGCCTTTCTGGAACTCTACTTTCTAGTCCAAGCAGGAACTGCTGCGGCAACTTTGACCTTTTCTTCATTGGGTAACTACCACTCCCCTTGTTAAACAAGCACCCCCAGCAGGGTTGAGAAAACTCTCAAAGGGCAGGGACTTTGTTTATCTCTAGGATCATGCCTAGCTCATAAATACTTGTTGAAAGGACATGTGGGTGATTGTCATTGGGGATATTTAGCGTTTGCCAAATTCCCTGGAAAGAAACATAAAATAAAATGTTTAGAAAGTGCATGCAAAAAAAAAAATTATCATCCATTCTACCAATAATCCTCCTCGTTTTTGCAGTGTTTCATGTGCGTTTTTCCTCCTTGAATAGCAGACACTCATGCCTCGCCCTCACCGTGACCGAAGCAGTAATAATGAGCATTTCAAGCATTTCTCAGCTCTACAGGGCCAGGCTCTTTCTGGATACTCTAAGTGCATGATCTCACGTCACCCTCCCATCAGCTCTTTTTTACAGATGAGTCAACAGTGTCTCAGAAGGTAACTGACCTACCAAGGTCACACAGCTAAGAAGCAACAAAACCTGGAGGTCTGACTCCAGCGGCCAGCTTTAAAACCCCACCCTCCTGTGCGGCCGGTGCCCGTGGGCAGGAAGGACCTTTACAGGCATTCTCAGGTGGGGTTCTGCCTGCCTTGTCACGCTGCCTGCTTTTTCAGGCAAGCCTCCCTCGCTCTAAACCCGGGTCTATCCAAGGCAAGAGGAAATATCTGATGCGCCGGACACAACAGGTGCATACCAGGTGTCTCTGCGGGAACCCTGACCTTTCCTTTGCAGGGTGACTACCTGCTACCCCGTTGTTAAACAGAAACTCCCAGAGGTCCCTCCTGCACCTAGGGCCCCAGGAGGTCAGTGGCTCTCTCTCCCCTCTAGCCTCCTCTCTCCGATGGCTGGCATTCTCCCTGGTAAACTAGTTCTTTTATAATATCATGGAGATCTAAAACAAAATGAAATCTGAACCTTGGGTATGTCTCGTCGCCATGGAAACGGCTTCAAGCCTGAGTGCCTCCGGGAGATGTGGGTGCAAATATTCCTACTGCCGTGGAAGTGACCGGGGTCTGGACAATGCCAGAACGAGGTTCCATTGGATTAGGGGGAGTTTGGGTAATACACACGGCCTGTTCAGCACAGGATTATGTCACCAGCAGCAGGATTCTTGCCACATAGTCTCAATTTTCGACAGTGTGCTGGCTCGGTAAGGAACATACCAGCCAAATGAGCGACAGTGCAGACCGTTCTGTCTCGTTTCGTGAAGGGATGTTTTAAACTCTATTAAGGTGGCATAAAGAATGTGGTAGGAAAAAAACATAAACAGTAATAAATTTCAAGGACATTCTGTAGAAGCAATTTTGTTTCTGGGAATGGGAAACCAAAATTTCCCCAAGAGGCTTCCATTATTAAAGCCATAAATAAAGCATCCCTGATCCGATTGCTGGGTTGCGTGGCTCGCACGGATGGCTCTGGAGAAGTGGCTCAGACTCTGACGCAGGCAGTCGCAGGGAGGCTGGGAAGGTGAGTCCAGGGCGCTCTGCCCTCTCTCCAGCTTGTTGCCTGCACACCAGACCTGAGTGCAAGAATCATGAGCACATTTTGCTTTCTTGAAGATCACCAAAGACTAAGGTTACTGCAAAATTTAAGGATGGATTTTCTAGCTGATGCCCTCCTTTTCTTCTTTCCATAAATGTCCACACTCTCCTCTACAAGTAAAAGCAACTAGTGTGGTGCAGGGACTACTAGTCTGATTGCCTAGGTGGTCTGGTTTTGAGTCCCAGTAACCACGGTTACTTAACCTGTCTGGGTTAAGTCAGTCTCCTGTGTGGAGGCTGGGTTAGAGGGATGAATGTTGGATCCTAAATGTCCTATGTGCTAGCAGGGCCCATCACGGTGAGTTCCAATCACTCAACGAAAAGCCAAGTGACACCTGCTAACACCCACTTGTGCCAGGCATTTCATGGCTGTTACTTTATTTGACCTCGCAGTAACTTGTGCGGTTGCTGGTATCCCCAATTTACAGATGACAGAAACTAGTCCTGATCATTGCAGTGACTTTCTCAAAGTGATGAATGTATAAACATGCAGTCAGGCTTCAAATCCCCATCTGTCTGACTCCAGAGCCAAGGTTCTTTCCACTTGACGGCTAATTTCTGAGCTCATGAGCTTGGGATAAATCATTAACATTATTTTAATTCAAAATAAATACAACTCAATAGTTCTGTCGTGGTTTTCGAATAATTTGTTAATGGCTTGGAAACTTCAGCTTCTCTAGCTATTCTGTCTCTCATTAAAATAATCCCATATCATTTGGGAATTAGAAGTATCTTCATGCAACGTGAACTTTTAATCCTTGGCTTGTTGTGAGCTACCCTAGAGAGTTACCCCGGAATGGCCCCATAGAGATGTTGTCATGTTAGGCTACCTTAGTCACTTGCACGTGGGCAAGATTTTGAATTTTATCTCTTTGGATCATTTGGAACAACTGAAAGCAACACGTCTTTACCCTAAGAAGAAATATAAGATCAGAGCGCTTCCATCAACAGGCCTGAAATCCTATAAGATAAAGGTATAATACAACTCAGCTCTTCCTCAGTTCTAAGCTCTGTGCTTCTGACGATTGAAAGGCCAGGATTTCCATTTTATGGGGGGAAAAAAAAAAAGAATAAAACATGAGAGAACAAAATAGCCATGACATTTGGGTGTGTGTTTAGATCTGCCAGAAAGGTTCCTGTTGGTGGATATTCACAGCAGGCGGTGGCCACAGATAGGGTGTGGGCTTCGGAGTCTGAATGAGAGTTACAATTTCAGCTCTTCCACAGGCATGATATTCATGCTCTCCGAGCCTCAGTTTCTTCCTCTGTAAAATGGGGGGATTATTGTTAAAATTAAATAGCGTACATAAAGAGTAAATACTCTAAGGGAAATCAGTATTTAAACCCAGATGCTCTAGCTCCAGAGCCTGCCCTGCACCCTGCTCTAGGACACAAGCCATTTATTTTATGAGCAATTGCTTCAGCAGAAAGCGGGTACCCATGAGGGTCCAGTGTGAGAGTCTTGGCTGACGTGGCTGGAGATTTGGCCAACAGGGGAAAGAGCTTTGCATAACCCTTCCTGCTCCCACACTGCATAATTAGTACCTCTGACTTTCTGCTCCCTAGTTAGGTTCCCTCCTAGACTAGGCACATAATAGATGTTCAAAAAAAAATGCCTGTAGGATAAGTAAATGCAAATTATAAAATGGACCATTTACCTTATGTAGTTAACATTTCATGCTTAACTTCTCTCCTCTCCTCTTAAGGACACTAACATGCTTAAACAGATTTTTTGTTTTGAGTCAGGATCTTGCTCTGTTGCCCGGGCTGGAGTGCGGTGGCCTCATCACAGTTCATGGAAAACTTGAACTCCTGGGCTCAAGTGATCCTCCTGCCTCGGCCTCCTGATTAAGCGGGTTAACACAGGTGCACAACACCACACCTGGCTAATTTTTCCATTTTTTTTGGTAGAGACAGGGTCCCTTGCTCAGACTAGTCTTGAAGTCCTGGCCTCAAGCAATCCTCCTGCCTCAGCCTCCTAGAGTGCTAGGATTACGGCGTGAGCCACCATGCTGGCCTTACACAGATTTTAAGCTGTTTATTCTCTACCGTCCCCATTAGTTAAACATCCATCGAGCATTAATTCAGCACCTACTCTTATTAATGGAAAGGGGAAGGATTACATATGTAATCCATTAGAGTATTACAAAACAACAAAGCCCAGCTTATATTTAGCTATGGAATACACAATACTGTTCAGGTAGCATTGACTTTTGTAGCTGTTTTGTTTATGTTAATTTTCTAACTTGCATTCCCTGAGCTCTTATTAAGCAGTCAAGGTTGGCAGATTAGGAAAGTATCATGTGAAACTACACTAGAATTAACAAGGCTGAAGGAGAACCCAGGGTGAAGTCAGATTGCTACCATTTTTGACCCTGTCACTAGTAATGAAACCTTGCAAAACCTCAATTTCATCATCTACAAAATGGGGATAATCAGCACGTATCATTGCTTTCCCACAGGGCGGTGAGGACATGCAGGATGATATAAGGAAATATCTCATTGTGAGGACTCTGCATGAGGTCACATTGGCAAAGCACCAACACAGGGTCTGGCACAAAGCAGACACGCAGCAAACACTGGCTCCCCTCCCCTTCTCCCCACCTCAGCTCCTGGACAACTCTGTCCGGGCTAAGAGCTTGGAAGCATGAGGACCCAAGGACTGCTGGCTTGATACTGGTTGTCTCGTGCATGTTATCTTTTCTCTCACTCCTTTCTGCAAAAGGCAAACAGGAATGAAATGATAACAGGCACATCCACTGAAGCAAAACAGGTCACAGGAAGAAGATAATACACTCAAGGACAAATAAAAAGTTGACTGTAGCTGGGCCCAGAACCGGTAGGTGGAAATTTGTGGGAAGTAGAGAAAGCCATTTCCTTTTTTAACAGGTTTGTTTTTTGTTTTACTTTTATTTTTCTTTTCCTTTTACCCAAGGGGAGTGCAGTTATGACAATAGAATAGGTTTTTAAAACATTACCAATGTGAAAAACACACTTTTATGTAGTTTTAGTAACTTCTTTCTTCTTGCCATCTAGGTTGCCTGTACAAAGTGAGAATTCCCTGAGATATAGAGGAAAGCTTTTGAAAAGGTACTTTAAAATACAGTGTAAAGTGATAATGATGATGCCTAAACAAAGCTGCTTAGCCCATGTGAAAGGAAGGCACCAGGACACAAAACTGTACTTACAATGATTAGATCTACAATCAGACTATGTGCATATGAATATGGCTAGAGGGAGGATACTTAAAAAACAAAAACAGCTCATTTACTAGGATGATAGAATTACCTTGTCCAGTGCCTGGAATCAAACAGATGTTTAATAAATATTTGTTGAATGAGTGAAAAAATGTGATATTTCACACAATTGTGAATATTGATCTCCCTTTGTTAGATAATCATTAGATGATACCACCTCTCTGACATAATTTTGTTGTTTTATCTCTTTTTTCCCCTTTACTAAATGCAATCCCATCTCCACCAAAGAAATTGGTGTCCATCAGAAAAGCTTGCAGAGTCTATGAATATAGGGCTTAGTACACAGAACCGGATAAAGGTCACTCATGCATTTCTGATACTTAATGCCAGGAGAAGCATTTGCAGATAAGCAGGGAACCTGCTTTTTATTCATTAATTGGCAGGCTGTCCTTTGGAAAAATAACCCCTTAGGGTCTCAGCTGACAGATCTGTGACTGGGATTAGACAGAAGACCTCCTGTAGGCTTTTTAGTGCCTTGAATGGTAAATGTCAAGATAAAACATACTGGGGCAATGAAGACAAGATCTCCAAAGAGTTAATATTTGAAAACTTTATTTTCTCAAATGAGCACCAACACAGATTGGAAATATGACAGAAACAATGCACTTTTCTCTAGTATTGAATCACTATGTACAAATACAGGAAAAGGTGAAGACAAATTATTTGAAAACAATTACCTTTGTTATTGAAGCAAAGTGACCTGAAAAATGCCACCAAAGGAAACAAAAACAAGACAAAACAAAAAACCCAAACCCAACAAATACAGTTTGTAAACACAAGCATAAATAGACAGATTCCGTATTGAAAGATAGTCTCTGCAGGTTGGGAAAAGGGGACCAACTCCCACTTTCAACCAAAATGTTATACAAAAACATGTGGGCAGATTGAATTTGGTAATATGAGAATAGCTTGTTTCTTCTTGGCTTTACCTTTTATTGCCAGTAGTTTTCATGACTGTATTTTAATTTAAGAAAATTAAACATCTCTTTCCTCTATCTAGACAACAGGGTTTTTGTTTTGTTTTCTCATTTGAGGCAGATTCTTTTACAATATTTGATTGTGTTCAAGATTTGATTTCCGAACTTTTTCTGAACCTGAGGCAATCTGATCTTTTTTTTTTTTTTTTTTAAAAAAAGCTCTTTACCTTTAAGATATGTATATTATTTTATTATTGTTCTTCTTAACCCAAACCAGTTAATGTTTAACATGATGTGGCTTCTAAAACAACTGGAGCCCTGGGATATGTGATTCACACACTCACGTCTTAGTGAGAAGCACAGATGTCACTCTGCTTGATCTTCACAAACAACAGATTTCCTTTACAGTCTGTAAAAGTTGAGCACACAAAGCAAGAAAAAGGAGCAAACCAGCAGCAGCTCCATGCTCAGGAAGACAAAATCCTTGTGGTTTGTGCTGTTGGTCCACTCAGAAACAAAAACAACCAGAGAGAAAGAGAAGAAAAACTTTATGCGCCCGAGGTGTAAACTGTAGTTATAGTGTCCCCAATAAAAAAGAAAACAGGAGGCACGATCCAAAGTGCTTTTGCACACGCTCGCACACACACACATACACACAAAATTAAAAACATGACTCCAATGTGTTGGAAATTCTTCCAACAGGGAATCACTCTAAGTTGTTACTACTAAATTAACTTGGTTTTTTTCTTTTCTTTTCTAGCCAATACTGATGCAAGAAGATACTTCAATTCTCAACCTGGTAAAGTACTGCAGAGTCTGTTCCACTGGGGAAAAAAATGCAGACAGGCATTGCTTTAAAGCCTTGATCCAGATTAAAGTGTTAGAGACCTTTAAAAAGAAAAGTATATTGGTGATCACTGTTTCCCTTAAAACACACTTCAAGAAATGCAGAGGAAACTATAGAATTTAAAATGAAAATAAAAAGTGCTCTCAGGGGATCTGAGAAAACAGCACCAAATATATTATTTAAAAAATTAAATATTATTTACAAAAGTATATTTCACAAGCAATTTTTTTTTTTAAATATATATCCACTTGAAAATCTTTTTATAAAGGGGACACTTCTTTTGCACACACTGACCCACCAGTAAAGATTTCCTCTATCCTATCTTTGTGATCTTACTGTCACAGGAGTTGGGGCAGAACTCGGTCAGGCCCAGCTGACAACCTGTGGGTATCAAGTCTGGCTGTTCTTGATTAACATCAAATCCACCCATCAGCAGCCTGAGACTAACATCCTGAGGGGTCTGGGTATACTCCAGGGTGGCTAGGGACGTATGACCCAGAGTGGCACAGGGGAGATGAAACTAGAGAGTCTGCCAGCTGCACTTCGGTTCAAAACGAAGGCAGCTGCTGGCTGAGGTACAGAACGTCATGCCTTTCCCTGTCTCACGTCTTCCCTTTCCCCATTCTCTACTCCCTGCATGCCCCCCTCCAAATTCTACCAACAAACTCCAATTCCCTGAATCTACCTGGGGGGAATGGATGAGGTCTTTGGTTATGCTCTAAGTCGATAATTTGGTGAGAAAAATTAAATAATGAACTAACTGAGGCCATGAGTTAATTTAGCGCCTCCATCACTCAGCTGTGGCCTCCCTAATACTGCTAAATTTTAGATAAACAAGCCATGAACAGAGCTAAAGTTATAAGAAGCACTTTTGGTTTCGTTGACACAAAGGGAAAGCCTAATGAGTTGTTTTGTTTTTTTTCCCTTGTAGTATGGAAAAACCAACACTCTACTCAGATCTCCCACACCAGGAAGGTGCCATGCTCCCACCGGATGCTCAGTGGAAGTAACTGACAAAAACCAGGACCAGGGTCTGACTGGAGCCTGCTCTGACCCATGCAACAGTCACAGGCCTCATCCCCAAGGAAGAACAGTGGCACATCGGTCTCTTTCTCTGCCCCTTGAAAATGCCAGGGCATCCCAAGTCTGGTTTCCGTATGTCACCACATTCCATTTTTAGTTCTAAAAACAAAACACCTACCCATGTTTAACCCCCATTTTCGTTTGATGGAAATGATTATCAATAAACAGTCAGTACATTCCCTGAGCAAAGGGTCTTATCAAAATCCATAAACAAAGACCATTTCCTTTAGGAAGGGAAGGAAGAGAGGGGAAAATCCACGATTTCTGTGCTGGCAAGCCAGCTTAGGAATGTGAAAGTTGAAAAATGTTTTGCCTTTTTATTGAGAGCTTGGGCCTAAGGAGCCAGAGGAACAGAAATTTCTTTGGGAGCAGAAATTAAACACTTCTTCTGAACCTCAGTTTGCCTTGGAGAGAAGTGGGGAGAACAACTTATTCTCCAAGGGCTACTAAAACAGTAGAAAGATCTGGACAGGAAGCCTTGGGGAGCAAAATTCAATTTCTAAGAATCCACATGTCATACAGAGGTGCTCTACTGCTAACCCCGGAGTTACCTTGCTTTCTGTCAGGCCTGTGGTCGGCCACCGACAGGGCATAACCACACCTGTCCCGGGTTGCCCGCTCCGCCATCGGCACATGCAGATACACGAAAGCATTTCCACCATGGACTGTCCCTATGCACGTTGGGTTCTGCTGTAGATGTAATTCTGCAAATGTCCTGGGTTGTCTGTTTTAATCTTGGCTAATAAATTTTACTGATTATTACCTGCATGAACTCACTCTTTGGTGAGATTTTTAAGGTGAATTTTCCTATGGGATCAGCGTATTTGGAGAATGAGATGCTGAGAGTTACCTAACATGATGTATCTTTACAATAATATTTTCAATCTAAGAAATGAAATTAACTCAGTTAAATGAGTTTCAGTCATGCACCTTATACTAGCTGAACTGCTGAAGAGCAGACTTCACAGTGTTGATTAAATGTAACGGACTCCTCTTTCTCTCAAGAGCCTTATAGGGGTTTATTCTTCGCTTCCCTAATATAATGAAGTTTGGATGGGTGGAGGGAGTAATACTGGAATTCATAACCCTCCCCCACTGCTGGACCACACCGACAGGAGATTTCTCTCCACACACATGGTCCAAGGGGAACAACTAGGGCGTGAGGAATCCACCAACCAGATTACCACTAAGCTCAAAGCCTTTGGGGTCTGTTTTCCACAGTCTACAATGACAGAACTGGAGAAAAACACTCTATGAACAAAGCATGGCTGATCCCACTGAAGCCACTGTACATCCAAAGGGGAAAGATGCACCTAACCTGTATTGTTTCTACATCTAAAGTATGCTTCGGATTGCCCCTACCCAACCCCTTTCCCTGGCCAGATTACTTTTATTAAGGGTCGGATAAAAGGTCAGTCAGCATTGCTAACTGATTCTACCTTATATTTTCCTGGCTCAGTATCTGAGCCATTTCTTCAGGAGCTTCCAAACTGCAGCCCCCTTCACTCCCTTCTCTCCCCGATTACTGATTTTACCTGGTTGCTGGTCGAAGGCTTTGGGATATTTAGATCCTGCGCCCATTGCAAATGGCAGTCCCCTTTCCCGTTACCTACGGGGTGTCTAAAGAGGCAAAGAAAATGACTGCCCAGAGGCTGAGTGAGGCATCAGAGTCATCAAAACCTACTTGGCCTTTTCTCAAGTCACTCACTGCTGCCAGGACACTCCACAACTCGGCCCAGGAGAACCAGGCCCTTCCCCTGCCAACTAGAATCAGGGCTACTTCTTGTGCTCATTTGCTAACCTGGCACATTTGGTGTCAGGGACAGAAGCTTCTGATCAGAGAGAATGCAGTCATGAGGTATTTTTTTTTTTTCTCTTTGTCCTTTTAGACAAGTCGATTATTTCAAGCCTAAGTTGTCAGGTCTCCGGGAGCAGCTCAATTCCGTTCCTACTGCCACCCTCCCGCCCCCCTAACCACCCTCAGGGTGCCCCCTTTTCCCTCTTCCTCTCGCCCCGTGCCACTGCTCTCCCGGCAAGAGGCCATCATCAGGCAGCTCTTGCATGGGCCCTGGGGCCTTCAATAAGGTGGGCTGCCGCCATGCGGCCAAGGGTCTGTTCCTTTCGTTGTTTTGTTTTCAGCCAACACTAGAACAGAGAGAGAAGCCAGGATCAACTCACAAACAGATACAAAGCAAAGAGACAGAGAGACAGTGATTTAGAGGCCGGTCACCAGAAAGATGGTGTCAGGGTAGGAGGATGCCCCGGATGGCAAGGCCCCTAAATGGATGGAACCAAGTGTTCAGTCATTCTCTCACGCTTGGGTAGAATGTTCGGTTGGATAGCGTTCACGTGGACACGGGGTTGGGCGGATGCTGTGAGATCAGTCCCAGCCATTGTCCTTGATCATGTGTGCTAGTTCAATGATGTATTTGCCTTCTTTATATTTCTGGCTGCTTTCAAAAGCATGTTCCTAGGAAACACAGAGGAAGAGAAAATACATTAAATGACCAAAGATAAGAAAGTGACTTTTGCAGCACAGAAGCAGCGGCGCTGCACATGGCAGGTGTGAGGACCGGTGAGGTCTGGCCCCAGCTTCGCTGGGAGAATTCCTGCCTCTCGAGCATTCCCTGCGCCCTCCACCTAGCTGCACAACTGAGTGGGCACCAGGACTTTCTCAACAGTACGGCAGAATTTCTTCAGGATCCTTGCTCTTTTAAGTCATTGCTCAAATGCTGTCATTTCAGTAAGGCCTTTCCCAACAACTCTACTTAAAATTCCAGCTTCTACCTCAGCACTGTGTCCCTCTCTCCTCCCCACTCCTGCTTTCATTTTTCTCCACAGAACTTATCACTTTCCAACATATATTATAATTTGCATTTATATTTTAATTTATTGGGTTTCCCGTGACTACAATATAAACTTCGTGGAAGACAAAGATTTTTGTGTTTGGTTCATAGCTATATCCCTAGAAGACTGGCGAATGACCGAGTACAACTGTATGTGTGTTTGTGCGTGTAATGTATACATGGGTAAATAAATCTTAGGGGACCCTGATTTCTGGTGCTAATGGAAGTTTGCTCTATGGATTCTGTGTCATTCCTGCTAGTTTCTAGGAATACAGAAAAACCTGCCCATCATTTTAAAATTATACTTCTTAGGCTTAGAGAAAAGATACTTACTGAGAGAAACAAAGTATTTTTTTTTTTTTTTTTTTTTTTTGAGACAGAGTCTCACTTTTGTTGCCCAGGCTAGAGTGAGTGCCGTGGCGTCAGCCTAGCTCACAGCAACCTCAAACTCCTGGGCTCAAACGATCCTCCTGCCTCAGCCTCCCAAGTAGCTGGGACTACAGGCATGTGCCACCATGCCCGGCTAGTTTTTTGTATATATATTTTTAGTTGGTCAATTAATTTCTTTCTATTTTTAGTAGAGACGGGGTCTCACTCAGGATGGTTTCGAACTCCCAACCTCGAGCAATCCGCCCGCCTCGGCCTCCCAGAGTGCTAGGATTACAGGCGTGAGCCACCGCGCCCGGCAGAAACAAAGTATTGTAAGAACAGGTTTCCTATTTAGTTTTTCTTGATGTTTGTTTCTATGTCAGATGTGAGAGATAGGAGCTGTATGAACTCCAGCCTAGAGAACCTGGCAGCCTTTAAGCCCCACCCAACTGCCAGGCCTCCAGGGGGAAAACTCAATACAAACCACCCAGCAGGCTACTTTTTTAAACTCACAGCACTGTGGGCTTTCCCCAGCTATAAACCACACAGAACAAAGTCCTGCACAGGTCTGGGATAAAAGGTTGTTTTTTTGTGTGTTGTTTTTTTTTTTTGAGACAGAGTCTCGCTCTGTTGCCCAGGCTAAAGTGCCATGGTGTCCGCCTAGCTCACAGCAACCTCAAACTCCTGGGCTTAAGCAATCCTAATGCCTCAGTCTCCTGAGTAGCTGGGACTATAGGCATGCACCACCATGCCTGGCTAATTTTCTCTATATGTATTAGTTGGCCAATTAGTTTCTTTCTATTTATAGTAAAGACAGGGTCTTGCTCGTGCTCAGGCTGGTTTTGAATTCCTGACCTTGAGCGATCCTCCTGCCTCGGCCTCCCACAGTGCTAGGATTACAGGCGTAAGCCACGGCGCCCAGCCATAAAGGGCTATTTTATTTACAGAGATAGATGCATAAGAATATCTTGGTGTATTATCTGAAAAACACTGGTCACCTGAGTATGTGGCTACAATTGACGTGCAGAAGCAGTGAGCTGTTCTTCTGAATGAGTAAGGAACTACATCATACGGTCAGTAGGTAGGTTCCAGGCATCATCTGTATGTACTGCATCTGCTGCCCACAGCTCCGGGGCTTTGGGTTTCAGAACAAGAGTTCAGACGTGGGTCTCTTGCTGAGAGAGGAAATCAGTCCACAAAGTGGAGAAGGGAGAGGAGAGGGGAACCAAGAGACAATAGAGCAGGCGTCCTCAAATTATGGCCCGCAAGCCACATGCGGGTGTTTTTGCCCGTTTGTTTCGTTTACATCAAAATAAGATATGTGCAGTGTGCATAGGAATGTGTTCATAGTTTTTTTTTTTAAGTATAGTCCAGCCCTCCAACAGTCTGAGGGACAGTGAACTTTCCCCGTTTAAAAAGTTTGAGGACCCCTGCAATAGAGAATAGAATGTGCAAATGCACCACACACATAACAGCCGTGGGCCCAGCAGCAATTTCCCTGACACTTCATTATTCCCTGGCTGCACATGTGAATGTGTATGTGTATGTGTGTATGTGACAGAGGAATGTGGTTTGGGAATAAGACCTATTGTTCTGCCGGGTGCGGTGGCTCATGCCTGTAATCCTAGCACTCTGGGAGACCGAGGCGGGAGGATGACTTGAGCTCAGGAGTTCAAAACCAGCCTGACAGGAGGATCACTTAAGCCCAGGAGTTCGAGGT